AAGTTATTTAAAAAAATAAAAAAACTGAGGCAACTTTTGTTTATTTTGTTATATAAAGATCTAAATCAACTCCCAATTTAAATTTATTCTCAATGAAAAAAATTATAAAGCTAGATAAAATGGAAAACTAAAAAAATTAAAATTTATTACAATATTAAGATTTTTGTAGCTAATTCAAAGAAAAAGGCTTGAAGAAGAGATTTTTTATACAAATAAAAAGATACCAAAGTAATAAAAGAAATTTTTTATTTGGCCTAGAATAAAAAGTTCTCATTTAATGGCATATCATTAAATAAAACAACTTTAGGTTTGAGTCTAGAAAAATCATTAAAAAAGTATGAAAAAATATAGGATAAGGTGAAAAACTGAGTTTATTATAAAAGAGTGTTGCCAGGTAAGTGCAAGTTTTAATGCAACTAGAGAGTTGAAAAACAATTTAAATAATTATTTATTAAATATTTTATGGATGACACAACTATGTCTGATTTTGTATTTAAAATCTCTTTTCTATCTGATGAATTTTTTTATGGTAGATATTGTTGTTAGCAATCAGCATATTTATTTTGACGTTTGTTTTTTTGGTTTAAAGTTAAAAGTTTTGAAACTTTCTGGCAAAAAAATTTTTTGGTATTAGTTGGCATAATAATTTTTTTGTTTGATAATAATTTTTTGTATTATTATTTTGGTGGTTTTTTTTAACTGTATAAAAAGAAGGAAAACCATTCTTGAATGCAAAAGTAAAAATACCATTCTTGAAAAAAAAGAAGGAATGCCATTCTTGAATGCAAAAGTAGGAATATCATTCTTGAAAAATAAGAAGTAATACCATTCCTGATTGCAAAATTTTTTTATCTGACCCCTCAAATTATTGTCTGATCAGTCTTTACTCTATTATTAGTAAGGTTTTTGAGTCTTTGATCAACAAATTTCTAACATCCCATTTTGAGTTCAATAACTTAATCTCTAAAAATCAATATGGTTTTCAATTTTCTTGTTGACTTGCTAACTACTGTGACTGAAAGTGATTTTTGCTTACAAATGAGTTTTATAATCCTGTCTTGACAAAAAGTCTTCTCTTTTCAATTGCGTAAAACAGGCAGCTGATCTTGAATTTAATCTTACTGCAACAGCTTGCAGTGGCTCATGTGAACACTAAAATTGAGTTGTTTACTGCAACAGCTTGCAGTGACTCGTGTGAACACCAAAATTGAGTTATTTACTGTAACAGCTTGCAGTGGCTCGTGTGAACACTAAAATTGATTTATTTACTGCTACAGCTTGCAGTGGCTTGTGTGAACACTAAAATTGAGTTATTTACTGCTACAGCTTGCGGTGGTTTGTGTGAACACTAAAATTGAGTTATTTACTGCAACAGCTTGCAGTGGCTTGTGTCAACACTAAAATTATTTACTGCAAACAACTATTGCAATACTTTCTGTATTAATGAATGGTAACCCTCTCACTATGTCCTCTTCTTTATTTTTTCTTAGATTATTATTCACTACTGACGTCTCATGGAAACCATATTATTATAAAGTTAGTATATGCTAAAGTTGCTTCTCTTTATTGTGTTCGTAATTATCCTGATTCTTTCTTCTCTCTCTACCAATCTCCACTCCTGTATAGAATACTGTTGTCATATTTGTGGTGGTTTTTCTAATGCTCTTTCTCTTTTAGACAAGGTCTAAAAATGCATTGTAAATATAGTTGGATCTGGTCTGGATCTGCCAAGCTTGAGCCATTCTTGCATCATCCTTAGGTTACATTTCTTTCTCCTTTCTACAAATACTATCATGGTTGCTGCTCAAAGGAGCTATCATCTCAAGTTCTATCAACCAAAACTCATCTTGCTTGACTTGTCATTCAGCAAAATCGCATACTTTTACTGTATTTGTTGCTGCATGCTCTAAAAACTTTTTTTTCTCTAGTTTTTTCGCTTACACTTCAACCCTTTATAACTCTTTCCCATCTTCATATTTTTCTGACTCATACAACTTTCAACTTTTCAAGTCTTATGTCAACTGTCTCTTTAATTCCGTTCTTTGTTTGTAAATTTTATTTAAAAAAAAACAATATTTTTTTACTGCAAAAAATAAGAAATATTATTTTTGACTGTAAAAAAAAAGAAATGCAATTTAAACTTCTAATATTAACTATTATATATTACCTACATGAAAAAAGATTATTCTTATAAAGTTTTTACCAGCTTACAAAGTAATAGTTTGTATATAAATTTAGTTATGTAATATATAAATTTGGCAATAATTATTTTTTTGTTGTTTTTTAGTTATTTTAAGTTATTTTAAATTAGTGTAAAAAATTTTGAAATTCAGCAGTTGAATCAAAAAATATTTTTTTCAATGTTAGAATTAGGTTTTAAAAAAGATGTACAGCACCCAAAATTTAAAACTGTAGATGACAAGTCCCAGTTTTTCTGTTGTTTTTATGTCTTTATTTTCTTTTAGAATTCAACTACAATGATCCAATTTCTTACTGATAAACCCTTAGGTATGTTGAATTTTAAAAAATATTTTTGTATAATGATCTACACCACAAAAAGTCATCCATATTAAATTTTTTTTTAGCGTACTACAAAAAATCTTCCATGATAAATTCAAATGGTTTTTGTGAACAATGTAAATCAAAGTCAAAAAAAGTGGTAAAAATTTATTTCTTAACAATTTAAAATCAAAATTTTAAATTGTTAAGAAATAAATTGTAATACAAAATTATTAGTGTAACTAATAATTTTGTATTATACTTTATTTTTAAACTTTATTAATTACTTTGAACTGTTGTTTTTGTTTCAAACATTGGCATTGCTATAAATAGAAAAAATATGGTTTTATCAAATAGTTAAAAACTTTAATTGGTTATACTAATGAATTCTGTGATTGATAATGAAAAAATAATATTCCTAATGATTTAATGATGTTATTAAAAAAATATTTAAAAATTCTGAAAATAATCAGAAGTGCTTACATTAGAGGATGAGAATTAAATTACTTGTTTTTTATATATTTTTTTAAATAAAGTTGTTTAGTAACATCTCTGTTAAACTTTTTATAATTTTTAGACTTTTTGTGGAATTTCCTCATTTGGCGTTCCCCAACTTAGATTGTGCAAATTTTTTTTCGAATGATAATAACTTGCAAGACCTTAAAAATAATCAGCAGTAACAATCATTAAAATAATCAACAGTAACAATCATAAAAATAATTAGCTGTAACAATCATGTAAATAATCAGCAGTAACAATCATGTAAATAAACAACAGTAGCAATCATGAAAATTATAAGCTGTAACAATCATGTAAATAATCAGCAGTAACACTCATGTTAATAATCAGCAGTAACAATCATGTAAATAAATAGCAGTAACAATCATGAAAATTATTAGCTGTAACAATCATGTAAATAAATAGCAGTAACAATCATGAAAATTATTAGCTGTAACAATCATGTAAATAAATAGCAGTAACAATCATGAAAATTATTAGCTGTAACAATCATGTAAATAATCAGCAGTAACAATCATGTAAATAAACAACAGTAGCAATCATGAAAATTATTAGCTGTAACAATCATGTAAATAATCAGCAATAACACTCATGTAAATAATCAGCAGTAACAATCATGTAAATAAATAGCAGTAACAATCATGAAAATTATTAGCAGTAACAATCATTTAAATAAACAGCAGTAGTAATCATGAAAATAATTAGCTATAACAATCATGAAAATAATCAGCAGTAACAATCATGAAAATAATCAGCAATAACAATCTTTTTAAGTTAACAGTATTAATTTTTTTTTGCTGAATTTTTTTTTTTTATTATTTTTTATAAAAATGTTTTAAATAAAATATTCTTGTTAAAGAACTGTTATGAATGCAAAAAAGGCTATTGTTCAACATGCTTCAAAAGCAAACACAGTAAAGGGACTCTGAGGAAACACAATTGGAATGCTTTTAATGAGGTAATTATAACTATAAAAATATTTATATTTTTTTATATTTTATAATAATTCATGTGTGCTGCAAACATGCTTCGAAAAAAAAAAGGTTTAAATGAAGAAATGTTTGCTACCAGAAGTTTAAAACTCAGTAGTATAATTTTATTGATAATTGTGATTTAATTCAAAGTGTGTAAAAAGTTTTGGTATTTAGTTTTGGTAATATTATAAATTCATATATTAATTTAGCAGCTTATTATTAGTACGGATGTAAAGTATAAGAAAGGTTAACATTTTAAAAGTTTAATAAGGTTTAAAAAGCTTAACATTTTGAAGGTTAAAAAAGGTTAACATGTTAAATGTTATAAAAGGTTAGAAAAGATTAAAAAAATGTTATCATGTTAGATGTTTAAAAAGGTTAAAAAAGGTTAACATAATCAAAGTTTGAAAAATTTTAAAAAAGGCTAGCATTTTAAATGTAAAATAAGGTTAACATGTTAAAAGTTAAAAAAGGTTAACATAGTAAAAGGTTGAAAGTTTAAAAAAAGATTAAAAAGGTAAATATTTTAAAGGTTGAAAAGGGTTTTAAAAAGTTAACATGTTAAAAGTTTAAAAAGGTTACCATGTTAAATATTAAAAAAGGTTAGAAAAGGTTCAAAAAGATTAACATATTAAAACTTTGAAAAGGTTAACATGTTAAATGTTAAAAAAGATTAGAAAAGTTTTACATCTTAGAAGTTTAAAAGAAAAGTTTTACATCTTAGAAGTTTAAAAGGTTTAAAAAGGTTAATGTGTTTAAAGTTTAAAAATGTTAAAAAAGCTTATGTTAAAAAAGGTTAAAAAAGGTTAACATGTTAAAAGTTTAAAAAAGTTTATAAAGGTAACATTTTAAAGATTAAAAATGTTTTAAAAGTTAAAAAAGGTTAACATTTTAAAAGTTAAAAAAGGGTAACATATTAAAGGTTTAAAACGGTTCAAAAATATTAACATGTTAAAAGTTTAAAAAGTTCAAAAAAAGTTTAAATGTTAAAAAATTTAACATGCAGATATAAAAATTTAACATGTTAAAAGTTTAAAAGAGGTTAAAAATGGTTAACATGTCAAAAGGTTTATAAAATTTAACATGTAAGTATATGTTAATTATTTACATACTTACAATTACAAAATTTTTAAATTAAAGTAAATGCTGAGAAAATTGTAGTTGCTGTGTAATCTGAATAATTAATATCTGAGTCACTTTATTAATTACAACTGGGAGTGTTTTTTTTGTTTTTTTTTTCAATTAGACTTTTAGTCTAGTTAAAGGTTTAATCCTACAATTTTTTAATATTCGGATAGGGTTTTTTATAAAATATGTATTCTAAAAGTTTTGAATTTTTGCAGTTTAAAAAGATGATACAATGTTGTTTAAAAATAATTTTTTTTTTTTTATAATAACATGTGTTTTTCAAATAATTTGATATGCTGTTGTATACATTACAAAAACACAAGTAATTTTGTAACATATACAATAGCATATATTGCAATATATACAATAATGTATGTTGAAATATATACAATATCATATATTATTTAATTTTTTAACAATTTTTTTGCAAAGTAGTCGATTATCCTAATAGCCTGCTTGAATGGTATTATGGTAGTTAATTATTCTAATTGACTGGTAGGATGGTAGTTGTTTATACTGATAGGCTGGTAGGATGGTAGTTAATTATTCTGATGAGCTGGTAGGATGGTAGTTAATTATTCTGATAGGCTGGTAGTTAATTGATCTGATAGACTGGTAGGATGGTAGTCATTTACTGGTAGGATGGTAGTTAATTATTCTGATAGGCTGGTACATGTACATAATCAAGTTTTTTGCAGTCTCCTTTTCGTTTTAAAGCATTCTTTAAAGCATTTTTAAATTTTTTTAACTAACTTGCTATTTCATAATTATTATTTTTTAAATTTGTGCAATTATACTTTCTTTTTATTATTTTCTAATTATTTTTTTTTTAATGTGTGAAATACACAACCTTATCTAGGCATGCATTTTTCAAGTAGAAATGTCTGAAACGACGTAAAAAATTTTTAATAGACATTATGACAGACTCAAGTTCTAAAAAATCTTTTAATAAATAAATTTGTTAAGTAATTTTTATGTAACTTGCTTGGATATTTACATTCATAAGAATTAAGAATTGTCAAGAAACTAGGTTTGAATCCACAGACTATTCTTTTATGTGATTTTGTTTAGCACCACTTTACTCTATTGCTTTTCTCTTTGTTCTATATTGCTCTCCTTCATCTCAAAACTGCACTCTTTTCTATGTTATTTCTGATCAAATTGACCAAGCCCTTTCTCTTTATCCTTAAGCCAATATCGTTGTAGTTGTTGACTTTAATGCTCATCACACAGAATGACTTGGTTCTAGTATCAGTGACTCTGCTGGAATAAAAACCCACAACGTTTGCCTTTCTCAATCTCTAACACAAATAGTCAACTTTCCAACTCGTTTTTCAGACAATCTGAATCATTTATCTCTCTACTTGACTTATTTCTTGTTTCTGATCCTAGTCAGTGCTCAGTTTATCCACATTCACCCATAGGTGCTTCTGATCATGGTTTAATCTCTCTAAAACTATTATCTCATTTTTCTTCATCAGAATCCCCTTATCATCCTACCTCTTAAAACTGTCTTAAAGCTGACTGGAACTTGTTCCATGATTTTCTTCATGATGACCCTTGGGTATAAATCTTTCATCTTCCTGCTGACAAATGTGCTTCTTACATAACTTCTTAGATTCAGGCTGGCATGGAATCTTTTATTTCTTCTCAACAATTCCAAGTCAAGCCTCACTCTTCTCTAAAGTTTTCCTCTCATTTTGCTGCTGCAACTTCCAATTGAAACCATTACTTTTATATCTATCAGCAAAGAAATTCTCCAGAAAACAGTCGTCTGTTTACTATTGCTAGAAACCATTGTATAAAGGTTTTATCTAAAGCCAAAGGTTGCTATTCTCATGTCACAAAATCCTGTATTTCATCTAAAAAGTTCTCTTGACTTCTGGAGAATCTTTAACAGTGTCTATAATAAAGACAAATCAGTCTCATCTCGCTTGTATGGTTCAGATTTTGTCACCTCACCTAAAGAAAAAGCTGAGTTGTTTGTCAAGAATTTTTTATCAATATCATCTCTTGATTCCACTAGGCACGTTCTACCTGATATAGCTGACAAATAGGTTAATATGTTGCTTGACCTTTGTATTACTCCAGCTTCCGTATCTAAGGTGATTTTCTGCTTAGACTCTTCTGCAGCTTGTGGTCCAGACAACATACCTGTTATAGTCTTGCAGAAGTGTTCTTCCGTGCTTTTATCTATACTTTCAAAACTTTAACAAAAATTTAACAAGCGTCTTGTTTTCTAGCCTGCTGGAAAGTGGTATCTATTATTCCTATTCTGAAGAGTGATCTGACTCATCTAACTAACGTCCCATTAGTCTTCTTACTATCAAAGCAAGTTTTTTAAATCTTTAATTAAAAAAACACTTAATCTTTCATCTTAAATCTAATAACTTACTTTCTGACCGTCAACCCGAGTTTTGATCTTCTCGTATTACTGCTGATTTTATAAGAGTAATAACCGATAGATTTTATCATTCATTAGATAGATGTGGAGAGGTTAAAGCTATTGCTCTCAACATTTATAAGGTCTTTGATAAAGTTTGGCATGCTGGTCTTCTCCATAAGCTCTCCTCTTACAATGTATCAGGTAACATCTTTAAGATTATTGAATCCTTCCTTACCAATTGTAGTATAAAAGTTGTCCTCTAGAGAAAGTACTCTTTTTTATATCCTGTAACATCAGGGCTTCCTCAAGATTCTATCCTTGGCTCTATACTCTTTATAATTTACACTAATTATCTCCCAGAAATTCTCACATCTAAGGTGGCATTGTTTGCTAATGATACTATGGTTTATTATTGTTTTGATAAGAAGCCAATACTTTTTGATTGCTTGGAGGGGGCATTTGAGCTTGAAAAGTATCTTATTTCTGCTACAGCATGGGCCTCTTAGTGGATGGTGAACTTTAACTCAATTTTTTTCAGCTAACTGTTATTGCAATAATCTAGATTTTCCTATGTTTATGAATGGTAAGGTACTTGATGAGTTATCCACCCTTTACCTTATAAGATTAACCATATATCAAATTGATTGCAAAATTAGAATCTGTTAAGGTTGTATCTCCCTTATTGTGCTTGCCACTTTCTTACTTAGGATTCTATTCTTTATCTCTATAAATTTTAAATCAGTCCTTGTATGGAATACTGCGGCCATATATGGAGCAGATCTTCCAATGATACCCTTTCTCTTTTAGACAAGGTGCAAAAATGCATTGTAAACATAGTCATCTGTTAAACTTTATCTTGCTCTATAAACTTCATTTTTTCTCTTCCAGTAACTTCCAACATTAATAGAGGTTGTTTGCAGCCTTGTTAGAAGTGAAGATGTTAAACAAAATTAAAAAAAAAAAAGCTAGTTGATAATGTTCATGATTGAAACAATATTTCAATCTGATGGCTTATTATGTTTTACTCCTTTAATAGATCTTTTTATGTCATTTTGTTTCAAATATTTTTTAAGAAATATATAACTTCACATTTAGATCACCATTAATTTTAAAATTCACGTTTTATTCAAAGCTCGCCATCTTTTTTTTTTGGTTCTCGGAGTCTGTATAATGTTAATCGCAATCTGCAGACTTAATTTATGAGATAATTTATTATCTTATAAATTAAGTCTGCAGATAATTTATTCCATGCGTTTTAATTCATAACAGTTTTGGTATATGACATCATCATATACATTTTTTTTTTTAAGATATAGTTTTTATTTTTTTTTTGCCATAATCACCAAATCATGTTAATTGTATAATATTTTACTAAATCCCCCAAAAAAGTTTGTGATACAATTAAAAATTAAATTTATAAAATTTATAAAAATAAAAATTTAATATATAACAAATATTTACAGTAAAACG